TAGTTCGTAGAGCTACCTCCCCATTGGCATGAATAATATTCCACTCCTCAAAAGTATATTATTTTTCCTCGTTGGTGTCGTGGTGTGTTTCTTCTGGCTGTCTCTCTTCTATCGCTTCGTGCTGTCTTTCAATTTCCTATTTTTCATTTTTCAGTTTCTTCAAAAAAACCAGATTTCTGCTTTTTACGTTGTTGTTGTGGTGTGTGGCGGACTACAGGCTACACATATATTTTCGTTGGCATGCCGGCCCATTTCTTCCCCCGGTCCCTTTCTGTCCTCTCCCCACTTTTCGTGGTCTATCTCCGTCACAACAATCTACAATTTCATCATTCATCCTAGTCAAAATTTTCGATTATCGGGATTTCTTCTGGATGTCGTGTATGTTTTGGTGTGGTCGTTGTTGTTGTCGGGTGGATGCGCGGCATGGCGGAATAAAATTATAATTTTGTGGATGTATTTTTGGATTTTCGGGTATTTAAAAGGGTGGCGACAGGAAGGCTTTTTCTCGTGGATATTCGTTTGATTCAAAACGTCGTTTTTGACGGTACATGAATTGCATAGCGAAAATCGAATAGATGTGTGAAAGGGACGGTGCCAGCAAGGTATTGTCATGGTTTCAAGTGGTAATATCGGTGATTGATAGGCGCGATTTAGCTCTTAGTGGCTGCCATTTTATCTAGAAACAGCAGAAGGGCCTTTCTAAAGCAATTTAAAACATAATTAATTACGCAAAACGTGGAAATTAGCCTGATTGATTTCGATACCGTAGCGGACAGTTTAGCAAAGAATCGCATTCTGATTGACAGGGAAAAGTTCAAAACTACAAAATTTATCGTATCGACCCGCATAGTTATTTTTAGTTTTTAGTTTGCTCCCCCACTGTCTTTCTTTTTCTTTTCATTTCTATTTTCTGGTTGTCGTATCGTGTCACAATAAAGTGATTTGCTACCAACTGCACTGCACCTATTTTTCATTTCTGCAACCGCACGTTTCGTTTTGGGAGATTTGCTATGGCTGGAACGGACGGGAGCTGCTTTTTGCGAATATTATTTTTCGGTGTCGTGGGGTTAGAGCAACGTGGTCTCCAGCACAGCATGCCACAACAAGAATATAAAAATTAATAGGACTAAAAACGATGCGTTTTTCTCGGTCATCTTTAGAACTGAACGAATTTTGTAAAGCTAAATAGCTTAAAATTGCCTTAAAAACTGTGCAACTAAAAAGAAATTGCCTTTTCGAATTGACGAAATGAAATAGGTTATTTTGGTCTACAAACATCCTGAAAGAAAGCTCTAAAGCTTTTTAGAGAAATGCGTGAATTGGGGCTTTTCTCAAGCGAAAATTTCAATGAAAACTTTTTTGACGAACTAAGACACATGTTAAAGTCACGTAATAAAGGAAAATAGACTTAAAAACACCGGTCCCTTTACAACGTCTCCCCTTTCAGATGCACGGTCCGAATAAAGTGGCGCCGAAAGTGATCAAATTCTGCACATTGATGAGTGGAGATTCACTATCATCGGAAACCGTCGAGCTGGATGATCCGGTAGGCGAATTCAAAGTTTTTAGAGCATCTAACATTTTCCAGAGCTTCTCCGTAGCCAAATGGACACAAACGATGGCCGCGAAACTGGGGTTGGATCAGAAATCTTGTGAGGCTGTGGATGCACAGGTATTTTGATGGTTTTAATTTTCCTAAAGTATCTTCGGTAGCCTGCGTTTAGACCATAAGGTCCAAATTTCCCAAAGAATCTCTGCTAGCTTGCCTCGACTTCAAGGTATTTTTCCGAAAGAATCTCTGCTAGTTTCCCCTAAATCTGACCTGTAATGTCAAAATTTCCGAAAGAATCTCCGCTGCTTGCCCTGCGATCCTAAAAATTCAGTTATGTTTCTTTTTTTGTTCTTAAAGAAATCTTTTCTAGCTCGCCTGCGGTTCAGAAATTTTTCTTAAAGAATCTTGGCTAGCTCGCCTCAAATTCTAGGCATTTTTTTGCCAAGAATCTCCGCTAGTCCGTCTTTGATTTTTTTCAGATTTTTCATGACCCCAACAATCTCTGCTAGCTTGCCTTTGTCATTTTTCACAAGAACCGCTAGTTACCCTAAAATTATATGGGTTTTTCACTATCCATTTTTACTCTAATTTTTTCAGACTTCCTGCACAATCGACCCATGCCGTCAAGCGATCGACGCCCTGCAGAATCGTTTCGTCCGTATCGTGGCCGTGGTGACATTCGCCGTCGAGCTTCTCCCCAATAATTTCAACTTCAAAAGCCCACAATCCACGCCGGCAAAGTGTGTTTCCTTCCAAATTACAAACTGCGCTACAGGCCACAAAATACAATTTTTTTAAATGGGCCAGAAAGCGCGGAAAACAAAATTGTTGGCTAGGTCTAGAAAGCTACTCGAGAGGCGAAATGACGAGAAAACGAGACTGTACGCGGAATTTGGCACGTCGCGTAGCTGTCTAAACCTAGTCGAGAGAAAGGGTCGATTCACGCACTTCGGGCTCTTGAAGTTTTCGAAAATTTGCAACAAACTACAAAATGCACCTAAAAACACTCCATTTTCAGAATCGTGTTCCTCCGTGCCCGTCAATCCCTCTCAACTGCCGCCGCCTTGCGACCGCTATTAGCGAAATATTCGATCGATATCACGCAGGCTGTCGTTGTTATTGGAGGGACTTTAGAGCAGATTAGGTAAGTCGTCAAAAAATCCAGAAATTTGCTGTGAGACTCCCTTTAAAAATCAAAATCTATGAACTTTTTTCAGTCGCCTCTCCCATCCCGCTCGTGCAAATCGGCTCGAGAACCCTCACCGTCATGTCGCAGGCACAATTTCAAGGTATCAAAAAGCCAAAGCAACCAGATATTTTATTTCGAAACAAAATGAAAGTGATTTAATCAATTCTAGGATATTTATATAATTTCAATAAATTTTACGCATTCCTAAGATTTTTACAGTATCTCAGAGCCAAAATTCTGGTTTGTTATTATAGCGCTAGCGCAAACACTATTTCTTTTGGATTTTAATGCGATTTAAATTTATTCAAGTTACTAAAGTCATTTAGGTATAAAATGCCAAATTTTAGAACGTCAGCTTGCGAAAGAGCCGCGAACGAATTGGCGAGACCCGTTGAATACAATCTCCTTCGAGCAGAATGCCCTCCTACAGTACCATCAACATGGAGACATTTCGTATTGTGAAATCACGAGTGAGGCCGAGAGATCGAGATTGAAGGTAAAGAGAGAGAGAGGCGCAAGAGAGAGAAAGCGAGAGAGAGAGGGAGAGAGACAGAGAGAGCGTGAGGGAGTGTGTGTGAAGGAGAGAGCGTGCGAGAGAGTGTAAGAGAGACAGAGAGAGAGAGAGAGAGAGAGAGAGAGAGAGAGAGATCCGCCATGAAAATTCCACGATTCCAGGGTGAGCACAGCCTCGGATTGACGAAATTCCTTCGAAAAGCCTCGGCAGCCGTCACAAATAAAGAAACGGAAAGTCCAAAGGAGCAAAAGCCGCCCGTGAAAGGACCACAATGTAAGCTTTTAAAGGGCATGTGAAGTGTCAGAATCGACCCACGACCACCTAGGTCTAGACAGCTACGCAACAAGTCTATTGACACGTTAAAACACATTTTTATAAAGACCAGAAACGGGAAATTGCAAAAAAGTGCAAAAACGCTTTTTTCAACCTGTCATGAGGGGTATCGCGTGATTGTCGAGACCTAGTTGATGGAAGGGGTCGATTTTTGGCCTTATCAACGGCTTTAAAAGTCCGAAAATCTCTAAAACAAAATTAGCTAATTTGTAGCGGTTGGTGTCCGACGAAGAAGTGGCCAAGGCGTCGCATCCGGTGTCTATTGCGGAGAAGAACAAATGGCAGATGCACACCAGAAAGAGCCGGCCAAGAAGAGGCTCAGTATATTCAAAAATGTACGTTTTTAGCGATCCGCTTTTCCAGCCGAAAGGCAAGCAATCAGAGAGCATTTATGGAGAAACGATCCCAAGCTCGATTTCGATACGGGCAACCTTGTAAAAGACAATTTGCGGTCATTTTTGACCTAAAAATACCTTTTAGAAAGGCGAAGGCGAAAAGGGGACGACCCCGGAGAAAAGCCCCGGCCCAGCGAGGAGAAGCCCTCAATTATATGCGAAAGAAAGTAATGGGGACACGCCCAGGACACCCGCTATTTATGCTACAAAGGTAAATAATTATAAAAGCATCCTTTAAGCTAAATGATCATCTCTTAAAACGGATTTTTTTTCATTTCAAACATTCTTATTTAAATAACTATCATTTTAAATACCGAAAAACTTTTTACTGAGTTTATAGGCGTTCGAAAATAGAAACTTCTAATTATCGAAAAATCCCCTATTTCGATAGATAATTTTTTATTTTTATTTAGTAAAAACAAAATCACTAGTTTTAATCGTTTTAAAACGTCGAAAGCCTTGATTGCTAATGACAGCCTGGAAACTATCAGGTTGGTAGATAAGTCCTGTCACAAATTTTTGAAATAGCTCTATAAAGCCGCAGAAACGTCCAATTTTCACTTGCGATACATGATTTGATAGGTCTTGAGATGCTCTACCGTGGGGGCAGTCGGATAGGGTCTGAAATTGTTAGTCGCCGAGATAACGGTCCTTGAAAATTTTTGAATAATTACGCAAAAGGGTTTTAGCGAGTTATCTCGGGATAGAGCTTTGCATGGATGCTTTTAACAACGATAGCTCTCGAGGAGTAGTCGATAGATGCTGAGATCAGCAAAACGGACATCAGATGGCCGAGATAGACCCCTATTTGGCCCATTTCTTAGAACTTTTCTCGAAATCCCATACATTTTGACAAAATCTTCTCGGTGCGTGCAAAAACAAGGCGGCAAAAGTTTGGCCCAAATGTGCAAAATGTATGGGATTTGGGGAAAAGTTCTAAGAAATGGGCTAAATTTCAAGGGGTCGTATCTCGGCCATCTGATGTCCGTTTTTCATGATTCAACATCTATCGATATCTACTCCTCGAGAGCTATCGATTGGTGTTAAAGGTATCGCATGCAAATTGTTCTATGCAGAGATAACTCGCTCGAAAGCTGTGACTTGATTTTGAGCGAAACTTTTCGAAGCTGTATCTCGGTGACCAGCGACTTTGGGGTCCTAGGAGGGTCATGCTGAGGTAGAGCGTCCGAAGACCTATCAAATCATGTATCGAAAGCCCAAATTGGATGTTTCAGTGGCTTCATAGAGCGATTTCAAAAAATTGTGACAGGACTTATCTACCAACCTGATACTTAAAGGGATGCCCAACCTTTCCGAGAGTCAAAAAGCAAAAACCATGTCGCGGGTGGGGGTCGAACCCGGGAACCCTGTTTTGTAGGCCTGGATGCTATCCATTAGGCCATAGTGGCAAGCCATTGGGCGGCATGGGGACGCCACAAGAGGGAAAGGGTCCGGATTTTGTGCGGCAATGGGCCCCCCGTTACCGCGCGGAATTCGCGCGTCACTTGTACTGCCCGGAATATATAACTATATATTTGCTGCCAAAACATTGGGTATCCCTTTAAAAAGGCTAAAATTCGCTGCGTTTCCTCGAAAATTGGAAGATATCTCCTGGTGGAATATGTAAAAAATCGTACACGTCATATAGTTTTTATCAAAAAAATGCATTTTTACTCCATAGTTTCACCTTAAAATTGATAGAAATTGAATATTCACAAAAATCGTAAACGCCATGAAGTTCCCCTATTTGCTATTGAAAAGCTATATTTTGTAGCTTGTAGTTTTGCTGAAAATTGCAAAAAATCATCGCTATTCTCTAATCTAAAATTCCAACCATTTTCCAGATCATCAACGACGAGGAGCCCGACGCGAACTCGTTCATCTGGCAACCCGCCGCCTACGTTTAATAAAAATTCTAAAAATTATCAATTTTTCTTTATGTTGCTATCCTGTTGCGTCTGTGATAAAATTCCCCCTTTCCACCCTGCCATTCGTTTTATTATTATTCTAATGAACGATTTTTTGCTCTATTTTTCTCTGCGTCTCTCCATTTTCGCATTATTTCCTCAATTTCTATCCCTTTCTAAAAAATGCCACAGCTCTTTCCCTCGGGGTACGGTATCATAGCCATTTTCTCGCCAATATTTTTCTCCATTTTAGACGCAAAATTAGCATAAATTTGTCGATTGATTTTTAGAGGTGGCAAGCTAGCAGCGATTCTTTGGGAAAAACACTATCATTAATTAGCCCAAAATTTAGTTTTAAACGATTAAGATCTTCAAAAAAGGATACGAGTTAACCTAATTTATTTAATTCCAAAAAACTGTCATTGCTACAAAAAAAAACTAAATTAAATTAAAAAGGAGATTTCTAAAAACCCCCACCATCAAAGTTGTGAATATTTATCGTTTTGTGTTTTTTCCATGCTGCTCTAGGTCTTTGAATTTTTGTGGATAAATTTTTGAAATGATAAAACGTCAATTTTTACACCAAGATTGGCCCGGACCTAAGAAACCTCGATTTGAATGTATAAAAGAATACGCATTTTCAAAGAACACCATTTATTACAAAGCATTTAAAAAGCAAAAATCAAATAACAAAACCGGCTCACAACAACGAGACGAGTTGCCGCTGGAATGGGACTACGACTTGGGGACGATTGTCGGCGTCTCGACGAATTGTCACCGTTGCAGGGGAATGTCACCGAAAATAGGGATTAAAATGAAAAACAAAACTGTTTTAGAGAGATTAAAAAGTCAAAATTCGCAAAAAATGCAAGCGGTACCCGATACGAGGATCAGCAAATTTATTTAGCTCCGAAAATGGCCGAAAATTTGAGAAAAATGCTTTCTTGCAGAATTTTTGCGCGCGCGTGAATTACATGCCGTAAAATTGACAAATCTAAAATGGCTTAACTCGCCTAACGATTCCAGAAATAGCTTTGAAAATTTGAAACGTTGTTTGAACGTGAAAACGCAGCAACTTGCAAATTCTGATCCTATTTGCGGAATCGGCACGCTATTTTAGCACCCTAGCCGTGTTAGTCAGAAAAATGCGTCCAGGAATCGACGCGAAATCGATGAATTTGGGCGCTCTAAAGGTCAATACAGCATGTAAACCCTCACAAGCGTCTTGAAAAAGTATAGAAAAGCTCACCATAAACTGCCAATCCACCGTTGCTCCTCGTTGACTTTCGGGTAGTAGATCTCCTCCCAATCACGCAGGTACCAGCCGTATTCCACCTGAAAAATGTCAATTTAAATGAAAAAGCGACAATGTACCTCTTCCTGCGCTCCGAGCAGCTCGCCCTCCTCCAATTCGGTGTAGGCGATCGAGGCCAGGCAGTCCATATTTCGGCACTCGATTACACTAAAATCGGAATAATTCTGGCCAAAACTCGTAATTTTACAAAATTCCGCCTAACGCAAACATTTACTGAAAAGAGCGGTTTCCATGGGTTTTTCGCGAAAGATAGATAACGCCGTCTTGTTTTCTAGACGTTATAAATTTATTACCTTAAAAAAATCGGGCAAATGAAAAACATTTTACAAAACTTAACGAGCTTTTTAGCGCGCTTTTCCACGGTATTCGCATCAAAAATAGCAAAAACAACGCTAAATCGCGAACTATCTTACCGAAAAGTGGCTCTATTTTTGCGTTGATAAACCAATCAATTGCTACCGTTTCCTGTCCGGCCGGCCCGGGTCAACCACGCGAAAGCTGGTGCATTTGCAGCGGACACAGGGCGGGTATTCCTTCGTGGCGTCTTCTCGCTTCGACCGCGTCAACATCTTTGGCTTTGCCGTTGAGGGGGATGGCGAGCGTTCCTCAAAAAATATACGTAAAAACGTTCAATTCTACGGTAAAACTAAAAAAAACAAACACCGTAAAATTCCTTACCCGAACCTGGCGCTTCGGCCTTCCCGTTCCCGGCTTTCGCACAAGATCCTCCTCGAAGGATTCTAAAAATACCGGGCGCAACGCCAAAAATACAGCAACTAACCGGCCGTCGTGCCAGCGTACAACTTGGCCACTTCTGCTTTTCCCGAACCGCATGCCCGGCTTGAGTCCGTTTTTACCGATCGCGGAGAAAACCTGGAAAAGTCAGAATTAGTTTTTTGTAATGAGATGAACAAAGAAACGAAAAATAGACGAATGAGAGGTGAAAAAATGAGAAATTGGGAAGACTACGCGCCAATACCGTTACACACTTAATTTTAGGTCGTAAAAATTGCAGAAAATAGATTTTTAGTGAAATTTGTTTAGTTAGGCTGTAAAAAACGTAGCTAACGATGTTGTATTGGATTTTAAAGGATATGACAGATAAGGAGACCTTCTTACCTGCACGGCAATCGAGGCGAAGCTGACAGTCTCCGCGGCTCTTTCACGTCAGATCGCCTCGAACGTCGATTTCCTCCTAACGCTAAAATCCCGGATTTTAATTTTCGGATAAGGCTACTCACCTTTAGCTCTTCATCTGTTAGTTCATTCGCTGGCGCTGAAGACGACATTTTTGAGGCGAGAATCAGGAACTCGAGATTTCGCTGAAAATGCTATGATTGATCTAACTGAGAAACAGCGAATCTCCTGATCCATACAACCATCCAGGTAAGCATACACCGAGATTAAACGATATCCTTAATCTAAATCTAACTGAACTGAACGAAACCTTAACCACATACATACCAACAGCAGAATTGAATATTGAACTGTTGAATAGATATTCGCTGAGTCCCCTTCTGGGAGTGGAAGCATCGCCAAAATGATAATAGCCATGCCCAGTGCAGACGCGGTGAGATCCTTGCCTTCAGCCACCGATCTATCTGCGCTTTGCCCCATCCTTTAATAAACGTTATTTTTTACTTAAATCCGATCAGATCCATGATCTGGCCACTGTAATCCGCGAAGAAATGTCCAGTGCCATCCACCAGAGTTGTTGCTGTCCTTCGTTGTCACCATGTAGATACAATAGAGATCAGGTAAATGAGCGATGACGCTATCCCCTGTTGATCAATATATCTTTTCAGCGCCTGAAGAGCACACCAAACCAACAACCTCCATTTTAGCAGTCTTATCGATATTCGAATATTTCACTGTCCAGTATCTTCCATCTCAACGCGTGAAACTGCACTGGGGTAAATTTTTGGTGTTACTTTATAACTAACAAAGTCAGCAGAACTGAACAGAGTTCCTGCCTAATATACAAACCGATAAACTGATTTGTGGCGCGATTTGTTCACGCCACATGATATCTGTCCAATGATCTCATCCAACGAAACGTCCGAAATGGAACCGATGTTTTAACATATTACTGTCCGATCGAGGAGTCGAGATTTGAATGTCGATTTTTCTCCGCTATGTAACTGAATCCCAGCTCTGAAAGTCCGCCGCAAACGTTCTAGAAGATGCCGATACCAGTTCAAACTTATTTGGTGCCCTGGCAACCATCACATCCGGTCCGAGCGCACCATTTCCTGAACAGAATTTTGCCAGCCAACGAAGAATGGTCCAGCGCAACAGCGAGAAACATCGAGCGCGGTACCTGATGTCCAAGACTATCCGTTCCTGCTGCGCCGTCGACTGAGATCTGAGTTGCGCGGCGTCAGCTCAGCGCTGCGCACTGAACCGTTCCTGAATACTAGTCCACATACGCCCCTGGAACCCAGAGCAGTTAGGTCCCACTTTTCAAAGATAAACAGATAGTAGGAGAACAGGTGGCATGTGAATGTTTCATAAATATGGTTCTAATGATCGTTCGCTCAAAGCTCATGAGAGTTAGATATCTATCTTCGAAGGCAGTAATGCTATTTATGCCAACAACAGTTCTTGAGAGTCAACTCACTGATGTCAGCCTTTTTCTTCCTTCTTCTTCTTCTCCAGAAGTCTGTCGAATTTGAAATCGTTATTTCTAGTAAAAATGATGTATTTAAAGCCAAACGGATAGGTCCGAAGTCCAAAAGTCCGCACGATCATTATCGATCTTCCATCCCACCAAACTTCTTGCATCATCTTCATTTGACCACTAAGATCCCAGTTTAGTTACGCACGATAATCACCGTCGCTGGCGGAGATTCATCTGCGAGCTTTAAAGCTCTGACCGCGCCAATGCCTGACAAAGCCAGCGTGCCCCTCTGGAGAAACAAGAAACAGAAACCGCGTCACACCATCCGAAGAAAAAACGAGAATCGATTACATCCGCGCGGCAATTTACAAGAGGTCCAGGTTGTTCTTGTCGAACCTGATTGTCAGTCGACAATGCTGTCCAGAGATGTTCTTCTAGATTATCGCCAACATACAATGATTTACGAACTGGGAAGAGATCCAGTTACGCGTCGTGTCCACCAGGTCGCCCCCAACCAAGATACAACCGTTTTAATCAGACAAGTCTTTTTGTTTTCTGTTTTTGATTCTGGCTCATGGCCTCGCAATTAAATTCAGAATGGTTATTTTTTTTGTTTCTGCTTACCCTCTCTTTTTCTTCTTAGCTTGTCCTCGGCTTTTCTGTTGTCTTCATCTCACAAAAACCCGATCTGAACCATCAGATCGCTTCTTTATCTTCATTCAATGTTTTTCACCATCCGCTTTTCATATCTTCTTTTTCAGGAACTGAACAGGATGGCCCCTCGACAGCACGCTGACCACCGCCTCTCGCACATCGAGCGCGCCGCCAACGTTCTAGGCCGGATTCTGATCGGTTTGGGCGAGGACCGAGGGCGACAAACAATTTGCGGTGAGCTTGTTTTCTTTGCTCTGACTTTTTGATTTAGGCCACCGAAGCTGAGCTCAAGTCGCTTGGTGACCGGCTTCAACACCCCGGACCAAGTGCCAGCCCGCGGCGCCGACCTCGAGCAGATCCACCACGCTGTCCCCGGGCTGATGACACTGTGATCTTCGGGAAGAAGGACAAGACCGGCTTCTTTGCCGCCGCTGTCACAGCAAGGCAATGGTTTGAACTTTTCTTGTTTTCGGGTGAAAATGTGGCGAGTGGATCGCGAGCTTGACGCGTTTGGTGAAAGGGAAGCGTTTCTGCCATCGGTATCAGTGCAGTGCCACGATCCGGTGTAGCGTACCTACTATTATCGCTGCTCTTCGGCCTAAGGTTTGGCACTCTGAACTGGCCTTTTGGGATGAAATGGACCTGTGTTATTCTTTTTCGTTCGGCGAAAAAAACCAAATAGTCTGGTGGAAGAAGCACCAATCAATCCGTTTTCTCTCTGACAATTGGACAGCAAAACGAGCCTGTTGTTGTCCAGTGGCTGTTCGTAACCAATTTCTGAGCCAGCGGTCCTCATCGCAATCTACAAGGGCGACTCGGCTGAAGGCACGGCGGTCCGGTCGGCTGTCAGAGAAGCTGTCGCAGTACCTGGCCAGCACCGGCTACTGAGGCCGCCGTCGCGTCGAACAATTCGAAGACAAGCCAACGCCCCGCCCCTCGCAAATTAATTCTTTCTTTAACCACCCTGTTCATTCACTTATGCCACCCCGGTTGCCCCTTGTACAATCCCCACCAGCCGGTGAATTTCCCATTTTAACTTGGGCTGTGAATATGGCTCTTGTGTGGTGATAAATCTTAATTACAGAAACTGATTCGGTGCACATTGACACGGGGGCACTGCGTTGGGATCGTTCTATTTTGGTGGTTGTCGTTGCGCAGCTCCACAGCATTCCGCCCTTTACCAGTTGTGTTCGTTTGACAGGGACAGGATGCAGGCATACAGGGGAAGGGAGAATCTGCGCTCTGGCCCCGCCCCTGTTCTTTCCCTGTGCCCTATAGCCAGTCTCACTTTTTCGCCGCCTATTCCGCGCCCCACCCTCCCCTCTGTGTCTGCACCCCGCCGTCTGGCGCACTATCTCGGTTAGTAAGGTGCTCGCGGGCGCGCCCCAACGCCTGTAACGGCGTATGACGGGTTCTTTAATGCTTTTATTATTTAAAAGGGGGCACTACATCGCTTTGGTCGATGCTGCGCCCGGCACGAATGTAATCTCACGCCCCGGAGAAATTGGTTGTATTGCGCACCCGAAATATGTTTTTTCCGTTTCTTGGTTTACTTTGTTTGAACTTACAGATACGTTCGAATGCGCGACATATGGCCCCTAAAAGTGTAGCTAATAACTCAATTTCCTTT